CCTTCCCTTCCCCTCCCATCCCACGACGTCGTCAGCCACGAGACTCTCCCCGTGGGAGGAGGAAGAAGAAGCCCACTGCCAACCACGAGACTCACTGTCGGTAGCATCCCAGAAGAAGCCGCCTGAAGCCGCGCCGTCATCGTCATTCCTCCTAGCCAGATCTGTGGTGAAAGTTGCTCCTTCGCTTTTTTTTTTATTTCTAATGCCGGCAACGAGGCAGGCTGAAAACCCGTCGCCGGCAGGCTGGAGACGTGGTGTCAACCTGTCTCAGCCCGCCGGCGACGGGTTTTCAACCCGCCTCGTTGCTGGTCGGGCGGGTAGGGTTTATGCGGAGGTCGGAGGAGAAGCGGGTAGGTTACCCACCTGGAGCCAGGGCGAGGCAGGTAGGGTATCCGCCCCGGCACGGGTCCAGCCGGGTTTCCAACCCGCCCCTACTTGGTCCAGACATATATCCGATCTGTCCAGCTCTGGTTCGCTTGTTGGTCAGACCGGTCTCTTAAAAAAATTATGTGAATATACATGTAATTTACAAATTAGAATTTGTGATCTATGGTTTAGTGTTTGTGATTCAGATACTCAAAATAAAAAAATTGTGTGATTTATTTGTATGCAAAAGAATTTGTGATTAGAACTACGATTACATGAGTTATTATTGATTAGTATGTGAATTATTAATATGTTTAATTACCATAAATAGTTTGTTGTGCTTATTAATTGTTATATTTAAAAATGTTTTCATTAATCTATGATTGAATCATAAATAAAACTAATGATAATTGTAAATCCACGTAGTCGGTCTCGTATGGGTATGAAAATAACTATTCCAAATTTAAAATGCTTACAAAATAATCACATTCCAATTCAACAATAATTTATGGAATCTTAGTTCTAATCAAAGCTTTGGCATTATTAGTGGGTGTACATACATGTGAGGTATCATTCATGTACTAATTACTAACCTTTATGTTATTTGACCAATCTTATTACAACGTCATCTTAGAGGCCAAATCATTCGAACCTTCACTAACAACAATCGTTCACAACATCGAAAGACTCATGTTAGTCTGAAGAAATTCCCTGTTTTAACACCCAAGGCACTCGAAACCTTGATTAAAGCTTTGAAACTATTCATGCTTTCTTCGCTCATTGACTTCAAATCGAGAAACGGTTGAATCCAGTGCGTTCAGAGATATTTCAAGGGACCAATGAAAATTTTGGCCATTTCCCATGTTGCTAGCTCGAGAAATCACGAAAATACAGTTTTAACGATATTTTATAATAACGACAAATTTTATGATTAGTGATTATGCTTAAGCATGTTCACAAATAATAGACATAATCATAAATACTAAAGCAAACTTTTTCTCTCTTGCACCTTCTATGTACCCGTCCTAAACCCTTCTCCCCCAAACCATTTATACTGTGGATTTTCTCCTTCAGTATTAATTTTGGGAATCTCCTTTGTTGTTGTAGAAGGTTCACATGGGTATCATAAACAACATCACTTATAAACAAGGACGTGTAATCGACTTTATCACCCTCATCCAAATCCTCCCTACAAAAATATACAATGTAAAAACATTTAGTCGTGCAACAATTATGTTACGATAATTAAATTATAAAAAACAACAAATAAATCGAGTACTTATCGAATCACCCATAATAATTTCCTTGTTGGTTAATGATGGTGGCACAAGATTTTTATCCTCCTTCCTAATAAACACAATACACAATGAGTATAACATAATTAGTATAATTTATGTGAATTTTCATTAAAAAATGTCCATAACATCACAAAATTTGTTCGAGCATGTTCAAAACAGGACTAGACCAATGGACGGACATGTCGAAAACATGACAGAACCTTAGGTCGAGCATGTTGAAAACGTGTCCCGACCGCAGGGCGAACATGTTGAAAACCCGCTTCGCCACGGTTCCAAACATGTTGCGGGGATGCCTGACGGGTGGGAGGGGTGGGTTGGCAGCACGTCCGCTCCATGGCCGAGACAGATTTTCAACATGTTTGGACAGCGGTCGAGGCAGGTTTTCAACATGCTCGGCCCATTTTTCTGGAAAAAAAATGAAAACGAAATCAAACCTTCAGTCCGAGCGCCTACATGCTATGGCGACCGGAAAATAATGATGCCTCTACCACCGACGAACTCACCGGAATCCGACGAAAATTTACCAATGTAGAAGATTGTGATTGATTTTTGTGGTGTTAGTGTTTTGTTTTAGTTTTTGGGCTGATATTTGTGTTTTTTATTTCTCGTAAAGAAAGAGTTCAAATGGGTTGGGTTCTTAACTCTAGGATAGTTGAACCATAAAATTAAATGAAGGACATTTATGTAATTACCTATGTTTTAGGGCGATAGAATTTAAATATTTAGGGCGACGAATAGGAACACTCGTCGGTAATACCTTACCTATTTGTCTAATTACCACGACTCAAATCCAACCCTCATTAAAATTCATGAATTCATATATCAATAAATCATGAAAATGTTAAAACCGAGCGCTCCCTAAGTTCAATTATATATCCTATAAAAGTATCGGATTCTCAACAATTATTAATCGGCTGCTACATTGGAAATGAAATACAAGAGAGGAATTTCCGAAGGTAACTCGAATTATTTTACCTGCTACGGTAGGTTTCACAGGTTGCATTATGATAAATATAATAGGCATTACGTAATGATTATGTGTCGTACGCTTAGCTTACGTAACAGTTGTAAAAGCTCGTTACGAAAATCTTACGTAATGAACGATCATTTTACATGATAAATGTTAATCTCACATTACGTAAAGTGCTAAGTCATTACGGAAGGGTTACATAACTCTTCTGATTTAATTGTTACGTAAAAAAAAAACAACAACTGGCGCGTTCTGTAACCTTTTACATAATTTATGTGTAATTTACATAAGAGTTTTAAAATGCCAATAAGTTATGACATAGGCGGAGCCGGAATTTGAATTATTCATGTGTGCCCTTTTCATAAATATAAACGATTTCAATTGTATATTTCATTGTACAATAAATCAACGTCATGTTAACCAAGTAATAAGAAGTGTCCTTTAATGCAGTGGCGAATTATCCTTATTTCACCTCAAAATGAAGCAAATATGAGAATTTAACAATCTAAATTCATACCAGTCGTTATACCGAAAAGGATATGAAGCTCGGTTCGGAAATTAAACAACACAAGGCGAACATTACATACGCTGCTCGCTATTATTCATTATAGAGAGGTACAGAATTTCAGGGTGCATGCATTGCCACGTAATATAACAAAGCAGGAGCCAGCCAGCCAGCCACTAAACAGCTGCCACGGGGACGAAGCTCATGCTGCAGAGAGGAAGCTTCACCACCCCGTAGAGGTCGTAAGCACAGATCTGGCTGCCCAGCGAAAGCTTAGCCGAGATCAGACATCCAACGCATTCCGAAACTCCGACGCCCGGAGTGCAATCGGCGGCGCCGTGGACGACGTCATGATCAGCGGCCGCGGAACCAACGGGAGGAAACGTGGTGGAGTAGCTGTATCCTGGAATCGTCGGCGTCACGTTGGCCAGCTCGTCGAGCACGTGCGCTTTGTGTGCCTCGTAGTCATCGGAAGCGCGCTCGATGATGCAGTATGGCCCCGGCAACGACAACGATGAAGTATGTTCCTCACCGCCGTCTGCTCCTCCGGCGGTGGTGATGAAAGCTAGCACGACGAGTACTAATGTGGCAAACCCGTGCACAGAGTTCTTCTTCATGTTTTTATGGTTTCTGGATTGGATTCCTTTGGGTTTTTATAGTACCGGGAAATTATGTTCCAAGACGCCGTCTGCTTATCCAGCCATGACTTTGGCTCAGCATATTCCTCGGCGTTGTTGGATTTTTTTCGTGGCTTTGGTTGGGTTTGTTTTCGGCGGTATAATTAGGATATGACGGCAGTTCGGATTTTGCACGTAGCTAGCGTCGTCTACGATAGTACATCGTGTACGTGGCAATTGATTTGTTTCATTAGCGTGATTTACAATAATCCATCTGCCCAACAAGCATATTTAGGTGGAGACGTATATAACTTATTTATACATAACTATCAATAATATATATTCACTAGAAGTTTATGGAAGACATATAATGATGTTTCCCTCAATTAATACTTTTAATGGCTTATATTTCTTTTGTTTTAAGTCGAAATTTTATTTTATTTCATACAAAAAAAAAATGATTAATTCTAATAGCTTACATTTCTTTTGTTTTAAATCGAAATTTTATTTTATTTCACTCCATGTCAGAGGTTAGTTCATAACTTGTGTGGAGACAAAGACTATCATAAATGTGTGTCAATTGTAGGATGTCGATGACTATTTATGGAGATAATAACACCAGCGCTATACGGATAGCAATAAATCCAGTTCTGCATGATCGCACGAATCATATTGAAGTGCATGTTCACTGTATCCGTTATAACTAGTGGCAGAGAGGACAGTTCGGCTTTGCTATCTGGCATCCGAGGATCAAACAGCGGACGTCTTGACTAAGACCGTAGGATCAAGCAAACACATGTATGTATCTTCCAAATTGATACTTAGAACCCATCATCAATTTGAGCGATGATGTTAATTGTATATAGGTATCATGAGTTTGTAAATAGCTGCATATATGGTAGTTATATATAGGGTTTGTTCTAAGCAAACCTATATAAACTTTGTGAACGGTACATAGCCAGTTAACGAAATAAGAAGCCTAAAATCTTACATGGAGATCCCTTCCATGTACTAGTCATCACTCTCGCCCTGACATTACCACATTAAAAAAAAAAAAAAAAAACTCATGTGTTCTTCGCGTTTTCTTCGATTTATTATCACAACCGCGCCACAGCCGAAAACGACAAAAGAAAACAAGAAAGTCGATACAAAAGCTTGGTTATGGAAATCAAACCACACAAGCCGAACAACGTACGTGCTCGCTATTATTCATTACTGACATGACATCGATCCTTCCCCACTAGCTAGCCGGCAGCCACCACGGGGACGAAGCTCATGCCGCAGAGAGAGAGCTTCACCACGCCGGAAAGGTAGAAAGCACATGTCTGCGCCAGCGAAAGCTTAGCCCCGATCAGACAGCCAACGCACTCCGAAACCCCGACGCCCCGAGTGCAAACGGCTTCGCCGTGGACGACGTCACCGCCGGCCGGGTCAGGGAACGTGGTGGCGTAGCTGTACCCTTGAGTCGTCGGGGTCACGTTGGCCAGCTCGTCGAGCACGTGCGCCTTGTGTGCCTCGTAGTCATCCGAAGCGTGGTTGTTGTTGCAGTATGGCCCCGGCCCCGACGACGTCGTTTCCTGAACCCTATTACTGCCGACGACGGCAACTGCTCCTCCTCCACCAGCGGTGGAGATGATAGCTAGCACGACGACGAGCAATGTGGCAAACTCGTGCGCAGAGTACTTCTTCATGTTGTTGTGTACGTTTGAATAAAGTTTGGGTTTGGGATCGGTTGGATTCCTTTCGGTTTTTATAGCAACAGGAAATCTTATTGTATGTTCCAAAACGCCAACTGTGTATGTATCCAGCGAGCCATGACTCTGCCGCCTCAGCACGTTTTTCGTGCCTTCGATCGGTTGGTTTTATATTGGCTGGCGGTATTATTAGGATGCGACGCCATTTCTGGTTTAATTGTACGTACGTATAGCTCGTGTTTGATTTGTTTTCATTAGCGTCAGCGTGGTTTACAATAATGATCTTTAATCTGGTCCATCAGGAGACGGATTGGGCTGACCCGCACAAAAATATTGGGCCAGTTCGTTCACGGTTCACCCACGAGCCGGCCACAAACCCATCAATTTTGCGGAAGTGGGTCGCCAATAGGATGGGAACGGGGCGGATCGGGGGCGGGTACATGCCTCCCGATCCCCGTCCATACACCTCGACGGATTTCCCCATCCCCGTACCCGGCGACTAAACGGGGGGAGATTGGCTACCGTCCCCATCCGCCGACGGATTCGGGTAACCAACGGATCCCCACGGATCATGGTCTAAACAAAAACCAAACACTTCCTGAATAATACATTTGCATTAAAATAGTAACTTGATGGTCAAGCCACCGAAATAGAAAACAAAACAAAGAAAGATCTGGGGCTGTAACCCATATCCCACCACCCAGCACCCAGATCCTAAAATTCAAACAAACAAACAGGCTGCAGCAAACAAACAAACTGCTGCAACCTTAATCCCACCACCCAAAACCCATCAATCATGTTCATCATGCCAGTACTAGTGTTCAAACTTAAAAAGAACATAAAATGAAAAACAAAGGCATTCAGCCTAATCGTTCAGAAATGATAAAATGAAAAACAAAGGCATCCACGCTGGAGACCAACTTTCCTCGACCTCAACTGATTTGAACAACATTCCTCCTTTGTCACAAGTTCCATTTGTTCTGTAAGAAAGAAAACAAAAGTGTTAGAGAATTGAAACTATCAATAAAACTCATCAATCATAAGTATTGTGCTACTGATCACTAGTACTTTACCTTTGCACTGGTTTTTCTCAAACAGTCAAACTTTCAATCATCTAGGGATAGTGGACCACGGTTCATATTGCCAAGTTCCTCTTGTTCTGCAAGTAAGGAAACAAATGTGTTAAGAGAATTGAACTGAGATTAACAAGGAAACGAATTGAAGAACCAAGCAACTTACCCTCTGTTTGATCTTCAGCACTTGTATCTGCAAGTGCTAGAGCTGAAAACAATCCTTACATTGCCTTAACATCAGCCTTTGACTCTGCAAAAAATGAAACAAAGGAAAATAGTTAGAACAATGAACACTCTAATAAACCAGAAAGTTCAGTTGTTGCATATTACCTTGTTGCATTGAATCAATGATCCAATTACGAGTACACATCATTGCCTCCACTGTATTGTAGTGAAGCCTACTCCGGTGAGGGTCTAATAACCTCCCACCAGAGCTGAAAGCAGATTCAGAAGCCACTGATGTGACTGGAATGGCCAGGAAATCCCTTGCAATTGCTTGCAAAGTGGGGTACTTAAGGCCATTAAGTTTCCACCACATCAATATATCAAAGTCCTTAGATCGTTTGGGAATAAGATCCTCAAGAAGATAGTGATCGAGCTCAGAATGAATCAGAGTAGTTTTGCTCTTTTTCCTCTGACTCACAAAGAGCTCGAAATCAAGATCATCACTTACAGAACTAGAAGAACCACCAGAAGCACATGAAGAACCAGAATTCTTCTTCTCAGCCTTGGTTTGGTAGTCAAGAACCAAACCACAAATACATTCCCTTATCTTATCAGCCACCAATGCAGTATTAGTGCTGCCAAACTTGCCAGCATAATACTCAACTACATGCATCTTGTATCTAGGATCAAGAACCACTGAAACTGCCAGAACCACATGTACCTCATCCCAGTACTTGGCAAATTTCTCCCACATGCTTTCAGCCATACTAGAGACAAGAGTATTGGAATCAGCACGTCAATCCAGCAATTTCAATCTTAAATCACAGATCTTGGGGAAAAACAGATTGGCAGTGGGATACTTGCTACCAGAAAATAGCTGAGTAATCTCATTGAAGATTTCAAGCTTCTCAATAATAATGGCAGCAAACTGCCAATGCATACTAGTAGGGACAGTATTGTATTGACTATCCCTCTGTCTCAATCGAGAGAACACATCCCTGTATATAATAGCAACAGACAGCATATCATAGGTGGAATTCCACCTTGTAGGACAATCAAGCACAAGTTTCTTTGTACAAGTCACCTTAATCTGTTTAGTAGTTTCAAAGAAGGTCTGAACCCTCTTAGGTGTAGAGTTCCAGTACACAACACTCTCCCTAACCAAATCAATGCCATCCCTGATGACATCCAAACCATCTTGCACAATAAGATTAAGTACATGAGCAGAACATCTCATGTGAACCAGCATACCATCCAACAACAAATCATCCATAACAAGTTTGGTTTTCATATGGGTTATCATAGCATCGTTGGTAGTACAGTTATCCAAGGTAATAGATGACAACTTGCTGTCAATATTCCAATCAATAAGACACTTGAACAACTTGTTTCCCAGCCTCTCACTAGTGTGAGGAGCAGGGACATAAACAAAACGTAACATCAAGTTTCTTAGCTTCCAAGAATTGTCAATAAAATGACAAGTTACTGCCATATAACCCCTCTTTTGGTTGGGTGCAGTCCACATATCAGTGGTCACTGCAACTCTCCCAATATTACCATCAAGAACCTTCTTCAACTTTGCCATTTCAACCCCATATAATCCCATTATGTCATTTTTCACTGTACCCCTACAAGGCACAGTGAACTGTGGTTGCAAAGAACAACAAAAACGTCTGAACCCCAAGTGTTCAACAATACTTAGAGGATATTCATGGACCATAATCATTGAGCACAATTCCTTCCTAGACACATCAGAACTTAACTGAGAAGCAGATAGCCGTGGTTTTCCAGTTGGTTTATAATCAGGACCTAGAACTCTCTGTCTACCATCATGTATCTTTCTTTGTGTACAAGTTTTGTAATGGTGCCTCAGATGGGAGGTTCCATTACTAGTATCACCACCAAGTTGTTTTTTACAGTAACGACACTTAGCCTTAACAACACCATTAAACTTCACTCTAACAAAATGAGGCCATACATCAGAAGTCAACTTCTTATCTTCCTCAAGAATGACTTCACCAGTTTCAATCACATCAGCCAAATTAACAGTACCATTACCATTAACAGTACCATTACCATTACCGTTAACATTACCATTAACATCAGGATTTAGAGAATTAGGCACAGGAGGATCATTCACATTCAAAGCATCATTTGAAATTGCACCATCCATCTACATAAATGAAAAATACAATCAATCAATCTTCAAGACTCAGACAGAGCACACAAGCAAGCAATCGACACATGCAAGCTACACATACAAATCATAAAACAGGGCGAATTTAGAGTCAGGCTATGCCTAACCTGTAATCTGGAGAGGTAGGATTTGTCGACCAGACTGCAGATGGGGAGTTTATGCCTGATGCCCTGATGCGAACCTAATGAACTCGAACAAGGCAAAAATAAAAACAACTTTGTGTTAGCATTCATTGAATGATAAAGACCAAGTTAATAAACTAGGAAAATTGAAGTTTTAAAAGTGATTATCTCGACTGTGCTCTGAGCAGAGTGAAGGTAATGATGAACGAAGAACTTAGAACTGAGGTTGCGAGTGACCCTGAAATCAATCGACAGGGTTACTATATATATGAAAGCAGAAGAAGATGGAATAGATAGGAAAACGAAAGGAAAAGGGAGAAGAAACTTATCTGTCATCCGTGATGATATCACGCCGATTTCTCCCAATAATTGCGAATCGAAGATTGCAACAGGCATTTTAGGGGTTTGCATGTTGTTTTCCGGCCAAATCGGCGGCAAAACAAGCCTCCGATTGGCCAAATTGGAGGATTAATGATTGCCTACTAGCGATAAACCAGTGGATGGAGAGGATTTTGTGGGGAATCGGCAAAATTTTGGAGCTAAACCAATGCTCGCGTGCTTGGGTGGAGAGAAAATAGAGAGGAAGATGAAAGGAAACGGCGGCAGTCGACAGACAGAAAGAAGAGGAAATGAGGGATTAGGGTTTCTGGGTCTTTCTTCGGCCTTTATACCCAGGTGCCCAAACGGCGTCGTTTTGTGGACGGACGGGGACGGGGCGGATACTTCTCGATCCATCCCCATCTGTAACCCGCTTCTGACGGGTTTCGGGTATGCCCGAATCCGGCAATTCCCCACTGCGGCCGGTTATTGAGACCCCCGTTGAGTCGGGTTTTGGGCGGGTACCCGGCGGGGCGGCCAGGGTTCCCATCCCTAGTCGCCAACTCCTCCCACAAAATAGCCCTTTGCTGTCTTTTGAATAGAAAATAGGCAATATTAATTGTGGGTGGTGTAGATAAATTTACAATTTCAAAATTCTTTGTTGCATAAATTTGAGTTCTTGGAATTACATGTACGTAATAAAACACTGGTTCATCATTAAGAATTAAGATCATGAATTTGGCTCAAGTTCAACTCATTTGTTTTAAATAATTTAACCCTTAGACTAAACTCTAGAATGATTTGTAAATTAAATATCTGTATTTCATGTTTGGTACATGTAATTAATTGATCTCGTGTTTATTTTCTATGTTGTTATCATATTGTTTTAGTTTACAACATGTAATTTCATAGTAATCGGTATCTAAATAATATCTGATACATAATTTATCAGTTAAATTATAAGTTGTACATATTTTCTCACATACTCAAAGTCTTAAACATCATCGTATGGGGTGAGATATATATACAATTTTTCAAACTTATACATTATCAAGAAGTCAACCAATAAAATATAGATAAGATTTGCTCGTAAGTCGGTAGTCGTGTATGCTCATTAGTCATCCACAATGTTAACACGTCTCACTAACTTAAAGTGAGACAATTTGCAAGCCACCGAGTCAACCTAACTCGCGAGCTCAAATGGGCTTCGCTCAACCTCAGATCATTGGTATACAATTCAAGATTCTACGAACACACTTTTCTCGAATAAAACATCGTTGTAAACAACTCTACTTAAAAAAAAAAAAAACTCTTGTGTTATTTTGCGTTTTCTTCGATTTATCATCACAGCCGGCATAAATGAAAACGACATCGAAACGAAAATACAAAAGAAAACAGAAAGTGATATAAAAGCTTGGTTTGGAAATTAAATCAAAACACACAAGGCGAACAATTATTATCCATTATAAACCATTATAGAGCTAGGTACACAATTTCAGGTGCATATATATATATATATATGCCGCCGCTAACGTAGCAAAGCTTAGGAGCTAGCTAGCCACGGCGGGGACGAAGCTCATGCCGCAGAGAGGTAGCTTCACCACCCCGTAAAGGCTGAAACCACAGATCTCGGCCAGCGAAAGCTTAGCTCCGATCAGACAGCTAACACACTCCGAAACTCCGACGCCCGGAGTGCAATCGGCGGCGCCGTAGACGACGTCGTGGCCACCGGCCGGATCAGGAAACGAGGTGGAGTAGCTGTATCCTTGCGTGGTCGGGGTCACGTTGGCCAGCTCGTCGAGCACGTGCGCTTTATGTGCCTCGTAGTCCGCCGAAGCGTCATTGTTGTTGCAGTATGGCCCCGACGACGACGACGTTTCTTCAACCGCAACTGCGACTAGCAAAACGACCAATGTGGCAAACTTGTGCACAGAGTTGTTCATTTTTTGTGTTGGAAATTATACTTGGTTTCTGGATGGTTTCGATCTTGTTGCAAGTTGCATTATGGGTTTCCTTTCGGTTTTTATAGTACCGGAAAACTATGTTCCAAAGCGACGTCGTTAAAATATATTATATATTATATATATCCAGCCATGACTTTGCATGATCAGCATATTAATTCCTCGGTGATCTTGTTAGACTTTTTTCGTGCCTTAGAATATGACGACAGTTAGGGTGCGTTTGAATACAATGATTTGGATTTGGTATTTGTGATTTGTGATTTGGATTTCCAAATACTAAATCATGTGTTTGGATATTAATTACATTTGGTATTTGGATTTGTGTCAAATTTATGGGGTGATTTCCAAATACATGTCTAGTGTATTTTTTGTCAACTTCAAATACATTTCAACAACTAGTGATTTGAAATACCTCCTAACAAAAGAATGGACCTATTTGTAAAATATGAAAAGTTTAGGTACTATAGTGCGAGGAAAAATATATAAAGGTACCAAAATGTAATTTTACCATCAAAATTTCAGGACCTTTTTGTAAAATTTTAAAATTGTAGGTACTAAATTGTAAAAAAATAAATTTGGGTACCAAACTGTAATTTACCAAAATTTGTAGTAAGTGACCAGAAATTTAAAAATTGAAATTCAAAATCATAAAATACAAAATACAAACAAATTACAAATGAGTATCCAAACAATGAATTTGAATTACATTTATTTCAAATGCTAATATTTCAAATACATCCATTTCAAATGCTAATATTCCAAATACCTTACATTTAAAATACACTTATTCAAACACACCGTTACTGATTTTGTTTGTACGTAGCTAGCTTCAGCGTGATTTACAATAATTTATCTGCCGAGAGAAAGTATATTTAGGTGGAGACGGTTTGTTCCTGCCTGCACCCGCGATTTGTTCCCCGAGGAGAACATATGCTAGGAGACGGACTGGGCTGACCCGCACAAAAAAGTATTGGGCCAATCGTTTACCCATCATTCTTGCTGAAGTGGGCCACGCCAACTCCCACAAGATAGGCTGTTTGCTTTCTTTGACAAGAAAATAGGCAACGGTGTAGATAAATTTACAATTTCAAAATTCTCTATTGTCCCTATTTATTAAGAAAAGTTAGGTTTCAAGCCATGAATGACTAGCTAGTGTTAACTTTTTTTTTTTAATCTCTTTTTTTATTTAAACCGTGTTTTTAGATTCTTTTATATTATCCAAACCTATTAAAATGCTATTAATTAGCCAAACCTTTCGTAATGCATTAAAATATTATTCATTTTTATGTAACTCTTTTCTTAGCTAAAATACTAAAATTTTGGAATGTTGACTTTCATGTGTCTCTTCCAAGACATTATCATATTGACAAGTCAATTTTACTAACAAAATTTTAACTGAAAGTTAACATTTGACTAATTCTTAGTATTTCAATAGGTTAAAATAATATAAAAGAGTTTTAAAAGAGTTTGGATAAAAAATAGAGATTACCGTTTTTTATAAGAGCTAGTGCTTAATTACGTAAGAGATGTTGTCTAATTAGTAATTATTCTAATTACCATATCAAGCCCTCTCTTAAAAGTGGTAATGAGTTATACAAACGTAACCGAATTAAATACTCAAAATAAATGACGAATTTTGTTACGAATATCTTAACCAAATCGAATACTCAAACTGTGAAATGAGTTAGACAACGACCACATCCCATTTTTCTAAATAAAGCTATATAGACTATAAATAAGAAAGGTAAAAGGGAGAGGGGGAGTGGACGGCGGAATGGAGAGCAAGCGGCTGTGGGTTTGAAATGGAAATGATGCCCTAACGAGGAGAGACAAGCCATGATAATACAACATGCCTCATGATGGATGTCTACCAAAAGAGAAGAGAGCTTTCTCTCCCTCAATCACAATCACTCTTCTTTTTCTTTTATTCATTTGCCCTCCACACTAGGAATGGCATTGCAATGGGAAGTTTGGAGCGGCAATTTCGATATTCATATTCATCCTATAGTAGGTCGATTAATTTACTACAAGACACGGGATGGAATAAACCGACTCATATGAATATTTAATTTGAAAGGAAAATATTAGAAATATTCATTTTCTTCATCAAAATCAAGAAACAAACTATTATATGATAAGTACAGTTAAATTATTCAAGAAATTGAGATTCTCACATATTTACAACTTCATTTAGCTTAAATACGAGGTAATAAAAGTAAAATTATAAGTAATTTGATTAAAATTACATGTAACTAATTCTCTCCCCTTTTCTTCGGACCTTTCAACCCTAGGTGATTTTTTTTTATTTTTTTTTGGAATTAACTCCATTCATCTTTCTGCAAATATGGTCAAAGTTTTCTAGTTCTAGTTCCAGAAAAAGGGTAATTTACAAGAAAGGTGGTGGTCACTTGCGAAGGAGATGAAAAGGAAGAAAGGAAGGAACAACCGAACAAGAAAGAAAGGAAGAAGTGTGGACCCTTAAAAGATGAGCACCGAAACCCAGCCATGCACATCAAAGCACATGGGATTGCCATATCGGCATGTTAATATAGCAAAAGGTGAAAGCAAAGCCAAGCAGTGGAGTCTTGTCGATCGTCACAAGCCCATGCCTCCCGGCCGGCCACCGTCAAAATTCTTCTTTGGTGTTTTGCATTTGGCTGTTGAAATGATAGATGTTGAACAGAATATTTTCACTAAGTTGCAACTTACAAATGACAAAAGGATTAGGAGGATGTCTAGCTATCTCGATGGTAATAAGTACTAAACCACGTCTATTCAGATATGAAACGACAATAATCTGGGAGAGTACAATTAGTCGTAGCTGATTTTCTTCACTCTGGTGGTTTCATATTCTTTTATCTTTTCGAACTTCTGGCTTTTGGTGTCCTTCGATCCAAGGTGTGAGTCTAGAAAATGGGAGGCTCATAATTAGTATCAATTGCTCGACCGATTTCTACTGGTGTGGAATCCGACATGGTGGTCGATGAGGTGCTTCGAGATTGTCTTCATGCCACGTCATCTCTATGTTCAATATAAGAGTTTAGAGCATTTTCTAAAACGGTAAATAAACATCGGAAACCATTTTTTTTTTCTTCTTTAAAGTTATTCTCATTTGATTTTATTTATTAGATAAGAGAGAATTATCAACTTGAAAAAAATAATTCAAAGGTTTATTCATTATAAAAACGGAAATCTCAGCGCCACCACCTAGGGAGCTTGATCAATAATGATGTTTTATTGCTCTTTCTGTAGCTATCTTTTTGTAGTCAAATTTGAAGGGCTACCATTGATGCTTTTATGAAATTAATCTTTGTATTCCTATGTGCGTATAATGTGTTACACTTTGTCACATTTTTCTTCCAATAACAAGCAAAATACATGTTCGTTTCCATACTAGTATGATACCAAAAAGAAAAATGTAAGCCGATATTCTTTTGTTGATAATATAATTTAAGTGAGTTGATGACATTCGAAGAAAAAAGAAATATATTCCATGAATAAGAATCATTATCACGAGCCTTTAATCGACAACATATCAAAGTGACGCCCCCACCATATAGCAAAAGGTAGGTGATATATGTCCAAATTAAGTGTAACTTTCATCGACCAAAAAGAAAAAAAAGCAAAGTGTAATTAACTTCATCAAAACCCCCCTTAATTATTGCAAGAACCACTGCCTTAATCCATGCGTTGGTCATAGTAAATTAATGCTTTGATTAGAGTCGCAAATCATGATTAATGGTCTATAAGTAATGTTTCTTTCTTCGTAAAGTAGCATAGTGATTCACTAATTTGCATGCAAAGTCAAGAGCGGCCATCATTTTTAATTATGGAGGCAGTAGAATTATATGATACCTTTCTCGACCATATATATATTATAATCGCCCTAATGTCCGACCAAAAAAATTCAAAAGCTACCAAAATGTCGAATTTCCATTGACAAAGGTTCAACTCCTACCTATAACTAGGGGCCGATCTTGACAGACAGGTATCTCAATACTTATATGATGAGCATCATACATGGTTAAGTTGTCGTAGTCCAACACCGATGTCATATGACGATGATGAGTTGCCCAGCCCATAAAGGCACGAGGCCTTAATCACGTAGCAAGCTTGTCTAAGTAAGGATTTGTATTTGATTGATAATTATAATTAGTAGTGTTAGCGGGTAAGCAGGGTGGTTAGAATCCTAAGTTTGTTAGAGTCTTTAGGAGTAGTGGGTTAAGCAGCTTATGGTTAGTTGGTAGCTTTAGATAAACGTGGAAGTAGTTCCACTTAGATAGCCCTTTTCATTTCAAGTTGTATATTTAAGTTTAGAATGGATTCAATAACAGACAGGGAATTTCAGAAAAATAGAAACCCTGACCATTCTCGCCAAGAAAGGAGAAATCTGTCTTGCAATTATCCCTGATCACTATTTCTTTAGAATTGATTCCTTCTTTTCCGAATTTTCCATGTATTGAAAATAGCTTTGCAGCCATCAGTCCTGCAATTATCCCTGATTTTAGTGATTGGCGCCGGGTGGGAGATCGTCCCTGACGACATGGTTACTGCAGAAATGGCATCAGAATGCGGCGCGTTTAGTACCAGCTCCATTGCGGTCGCCGCCTTGATCACTAGCTGATTCAGCTCAGCCTCTTCCACTGGGACTGGTTGTGTGCTCGTGATGATGGCGAGGAAAAACTGGGGTTTTGTGGGTAGAAGGGGGATCTCTCCTGCTTTAGCGGCGACAATAGTTTTGACCTGCAGCGGCGGTGGTTCGGAGGCACTCTTCGGCGCGACAAGAGAGAAGGACAACAACGGTGGTGCAGGCTTTGTGCCGTCGGCATCTTTTTCCTCGTCCTCTACCGACTTGGCTAAAGCTTCAGCTTGCGATGGTGGTAGGCTCTCAGCGGCGGCAGGTACTTGTTGGGTTGCAACAGGTAGGACGGAGATCTCCTCCTCTTCAATGGCGGCTAGGGTCTCGACTTACGGCGGTGGTG